CTAAATAGGACTAAAATATTAATGATGACTATATCTATACATAGTTCATTATCACTATCCTACTCGTCATCATCCCACTCATCGTCATCGTCATCGTCATCCTCGTCTAACAAAGGGAAAAAAAAAAAAGAATATTAGCCATATATGTGCTGTTAGCGAACCAAAATTAAGTTCTCAATCCACGTAATAAATATATTACCCGAATCGTGTTGAATAGCAGAGGAACGACTAATAAGTGCATTCGCGATAATTTTGGCTAGATCGTTGCTATCTTCACCGGGGCTACTTGGCTCTGGTTCATCGTACGTAACTGGAGCAGACCTAGGCTCACCGACCTTGTATTGGAAATAACATAAGTAGTAAGTACAAGAAATAATATGGAAAATTGTATGCCTCAAATAGTTTTCATCGATGCATACCGAACGCAATCCAGCTCCGGCAGTTCCACCGGTCTGTCTAATAGCTGCCAAAAGATTTGCACGACCGTCTTGAGAGGGTGGTATTCCACGTGGAGCAGCAGAAGACATTGCGGGAGGAGGCGGAGGCGGGGGTGGATTACTACCAACTGGCGGTGGAGGAGGCGGAGGCGGAGGAGCATTGCCAACTACTGGTGGAGGCGGCGGGGCCGGAGGCGGCGGAGCACTATTACTAACTGGTTGTGTACGTGCCGGTGGAAGTGGTGGTGGCGGCGGTGGAGGAGCAGCTGTTGTGCGCGCCGGAGGAAGTGGTGGCGGCGGGGGAACACTAGAAGTTGTTGATGGACGAACCGCTGGAGGTGCTGGCGGTGGCGGCGGTGGTGCTGGATGTGCTGAGGGTGGTGGTGGGGGAGCACTAACAGATGGAGAGGGGCGGACTATCGATGGAGGAGGCGGAGGCGGCGGGGGGGCCGCTTGTACTTTGACAGGAGGTGGTGGAGGTAATATATTACGATTTACCGATGGTGATACATTCCGACTCGCAGGCAGCGGAGGTGGCGGAGGCGGCGTTGGTACTGCAACTTTTACAGTATGTTCACTATCAGAGTTGTCCGATGATGTCACTGGAGCTACTACAGATCTTCGAGCTGGGGGTGAAGGAGGAGTCTTCGCCTTGGTCCGAGAAGGCGGCGGAGGTGGAGGTTTCTTGCGAGCAGGCGGTGGAGGTGGAGTCTTAGCCTTCACCGGTGCCGATGATGCAGCCTTTTTTGGTCGAGCAGATGGGGTCTTTGGCATGCCGGTCTTTGGCATGCCGCCGTTTTTCTCGACAAGATCTTTAATGAAGCCAGTGTTCTTGGCAATAAGTTCCTGAGAGCGAATAAGTTTAGGTAAGCAATTGGATACAATGTCGTGTAAACATGTATATAAAACATACCTGGCTAACTCCTAGCTGAGCAAGTTTATCGAATAAATCTTTCCACGAAGGATCAATGTTCTGAACCTGAAATGTAATATATAATTTAGAACGTTTACGACTCTTTTAAACAATCGAATGTGTATTGATACGAACATCGAAACCAGATTCAGCACTCCAGCCAATATGTCCGAGATGTCTTCATTTGAACAATAGCAACGGAGTTAATATTTTGCAACTAGTGAAGAACGCTCACAACAATCAGTCATTACCTGAAATCTGTCGGTGCACCAATCGCTGCTTTATCGATTTTTCCACGCTTTTTACCCTTCTTGGTTTTCTTTCCTCCGCCAAAAATACCAGCATTACCTTGCTTTTGTGTTTTGGCTAGTAATGTAAAGCGATCGATTAATAAATTTAACCGCATGCCTTAACTCAAAGATCCTTACGCATACCTTTGATGATTTTTTCTCGATTCATGACTTTCTTATAAAATACAGCAGCCTCATTTTCATCGGCAAAAGAAAATGCAGCCAGATATTTCTAATCGATGCGGTTTAACATGGCTTAATATCAAAGAAGCTAAGCAATGTAGAAATGCTAGTATCAAAAGAAAACACTTACATCGGTCGAAAAAGTATGAAAGAAAGGGCGTTCTTGATTGTAAACGAAATCCGTGTATAATTCTTGTTCCCATATAACTCCACGATTCTACAAAAGATTAAAAGGCCTGGTTAATGTACATGAACAAAATTATCATTCCCATCTTTCTCAAGAACGTACCGCTGTTAAGTCAACGAGTCTGAAGAAAAACGACTTCTTTCCGAGGTCAAAGGCAAAGACTATAGCACCCATGAGGTTTGTATAAGTCCAAGTGTTTGGGTCCGGATGAGCGACGTATAATCTTGCAACAGTTGCATTGAGGATTTTCTGTTTGGAATGAGAGCATTTTCAATTATATGGTTTAGATTATACAGAATTTGTCATATACATACGTTAGATGAGAGGGGGACAGCCTTCTTGATATTGACTTTGTCGTCGGAATTTGCGAGAGTGGCTGACGGCATCTTGATAGTTGTTGACAAAACTCAACAGCGAAAGATCTACTGCGTTCTTTATATTTGCAGCACCTGTCTTGGCCTTGGCGATATGTTCGCAGCAACTATTCCAAAAATAGCATAAACTCGCCCGGTAAAATTGCTAGGCAAAGAATGTTGTACATGGCCGTGATACGATAAATTTCGTCATGCAAAGTCAGCAGCCCTGAATAATAACGTCGTATACCCGGCAATGCGGGATTTTTGGACCCTGTCGCAATCAATAACGTCATTCATTTGTGTAGAGGCATATAATGCTTTCCATGATCCCGCGTTAAAAGTATTTGACGGGTGTCAAATAATAGGAATACTACTATGCTAGTTATCGATTGAATTATTCATTATGAATAATGAGATTTGTTTAATATTAATAATTTTTTCACAGTTAAACACCTTGACCAGAATTAATAGCGTGTTAAATGAAATTAAGTAATTCTCTATTATAAACAAAGGTGGGAATATTTTTAATTTAGCTGTACACATATTTGTGGCGAAGCAGAACTTTTCGGAGATAGAATAATGAGGCCGGTCTAATTTCCTTGAAAGATTACTTGAAAACGGTAGTTGATCTTTAAGAATTTTACTTGAATAACTTTGTTAAGCATGTGCAAATATCAAGCGGCCACCATACCTTTTCCGGTTAGAGCATAATTCGAACGGTATCACTCGGTTGATAGCAATGTAGCAAAGTGTTGTTGATAAGGAAATGATTCATTGTTGGTTAAACCTTATACTTGATATTAAACAAGGAACGGCTTATAAATAATCATTTAAGATTATTCTGCAATGGCAAGTAACCATTTCTAATATGTAAAAGCTTTTAATTTCTAGCAGCAGCCATATGATTAAGAGGCAACTGAATACTACTAATTCCGCAACTAAACATCCTTAGTCAGCAAAGCAACTATGGATGAAACGTTCAGCAAACATCCAACAATAAAACATACCTTGGCAGGGGTCTCTTTTAAGTCTATTCTCAACAGACCAGGGTAGCGGTATTCTAGATAAAACTATCACGATACTCCTGATTGCATGTACATTATGTAACCTGTTTCGAGTTTATTTGACTTCATTTACAATAAGACCCAAATATTTTACTTCCAATCTACAAAACGTATGATGGCGATAAACGACTCACATCATTAATTAAATTACATCATTAGTTGAATAAAGAACAAGATCTACTGAGTTTATAAACTATACTTTGGCGGTTCCCAATCTTCTTTCGTTATTAGTTAAATTAATATTACAGCCAAACTCTTTATGTTGCAGACAATTCTACAGTTGAAAAATCGATGTGAATTTGCGCCTTCAAGCCTTTAGTCCACATTTTCAAAGTACTTGTATTCAAGCCATAACATCCATAGAAATTCAACAGCTCTAAGTTAACAAAAGATCCGCTCACCAAGTCCCAAATTTCTCCCTTGACTCTAAAATCACAATCCTCAAATTTGATCTTTTTCAATGACCGAGAATGCTTGGCTCTTAATGACAGCACCAACTTATCGATCCCATTCAACACGCCGGCCAACACTACCTCTTTTAGCGCCCGCTGAGATTTTATCAAATTAACCAAGCCCACTATCAAATCATTCTCAGTCTCGGATACAAATCGCGTTATCTCTTTCACATGCAGTACTTCGAGTGTAGTATGATATAACGTAATCTTGGACAAAATGTCTGACTCACGATACTGTTGGAGTGTATGAATGTGCAGAGATCGAAGCTTGGGACATTCTGTAATAAATTTGTTGACGAGTAGTTGGGAAAGAAGCCTGCGTTTCCGATTTTTACGACTCCATGTCGAAATAGCGTCCAACACATAGAAATCATTTAGCCATTGAAGATAAGTAATATAGTTAAATAGGGGTGGTTTCGAGTTGGGTATAGGAAAATCATTTGCAGTGAGGTATTTCTTTTCTTCTTCTTTAAGGCAAGCCAAATACACTGGAATAAGCTTTCTTTTTCCAGCTGTATTACGGTGGGTATGGTGAAATGGCTTCCGCCATAAAAGAGGAACTATCGCTCGACACCAATGTCGGCAAACCAATATGCTTCTCTGCAGTGTCATTAAATCATTTTCGCCAACATGTTTCATTACTTCCGTTAAGATCTCTTGCGGAAGTGTGGGTGTCATCACAATTTATTATTATGGGACTGTGACGAAAGTAGCGAACGAGAAGGGAACGTTTGGCGAGAGAATGCTCCGAGATGTAAGGTAGGACGTGCATCATCTGATTTTGTTGTTTTGAGTGTACTACGATGGATGCATAATGGATCGTAACACACGGCTGAAAATGACACGTCAGCACCTGCATTACATTATACAAATTTTCTTACGAAGTTTAGCGGCCGTGTAGTCGTATCACCAAATGTCAACTACAAACAAATACACATACCAAAAGAGGTCAAATGCGACAGTGGGGAAGCCGCGTACCGGACATATAAAGGCACCGGTCACATGTACAAATGAAGGTGTATTTCTTCTTAACGTTCGACGTTTGATTAGCCAAAACATCTACCGTCTAACAATCCTTGGCTCGTATCTACAAAAATCTGCCAACGCTATTTGCAAGACAGGAACAGTTCTCTCACCGTTCTCTCACCGTCATCTAACGAAGAAGACAATGTTTGCATTAATGATCAATCATCAGCATCACAATCTCGACGTGAACCGCGTCAAGCATTAGCAGACAAAACCAATACCGGTAGCAAGACGGTCCCACGTAATGCTACTCGGATTGGTGGTGGCGGGAAAAGGGTCGTGAAAAATGCTAAAGATGATAGCGACAGGGATAGTCATTGTGCCAATAATGCTAATGATGATAATAACAAAGAAAAGACAAAGCAACAGGCGAGACCGAAAGAACTACAAACGGAAAGAGAATTAAAGAGACTTAAACGCAACAGTGAGAGCGAGATCGACAGTGAATATAGCGTATCTAGCGATACCAAAGTAAGTAATTACTGTAACTACTAAGTTATAAGAATTAAACAACGATATACCCCTAATCATGGTTTTTCAAAGCCAACAAGAACACACCAAAGTATTAGTAACCTCAAAAAACATCAGCCACGTACATCTGCTCATGCCCATGCCCGTACCAGAACTCATCTTCCCTCGATTACAAACACAAGCACCCTCGCCTCTCCATCAACTCTCCCTCAAGACACCACTCCTCGACGAGTAAAAAGATCATCACCATCAACGGCAGTTGACGAATCAAGTAGTTCGTCTGATGATCCGATATTGGTATATTCGTGGTACAAAGAATCAACTTTGTGTTCTGTTGAGACGCGAGGAAAACTTGGGAAACCTGATAGTTGAGAACTTTTAATTAGACTTGCAATGTGATCGATAATTACGAGGGGGGGGATCTAACGCTTGCGTTTGCATCTATCAGCTATATTATTACATTCCTTGCAGTTGCAGTTTTAGTAAACCCCGATTCGAATTATCTCTCTTTATTAATATCCATTTCCCTTATCATCCCCTTTACATTGTGTGGTAAAGCCTACGGATTTATGTATTTTAGCATTTGACGTTTCCATATTACTTCCTACATTTGCAAATATTCAAGCAACACGAAATTATCTGTCGGTTCTTCTCTAGTTGACGGGTCGGCTAGCCTACAGTCTCTAACGTGTAGTTGCACTCCAGCTTTAGCCATTTTTGCCATCCATTCTCTCAATCCGAAATCCACAAAATCGCAACTGACAAAGACAACAGTTTCCAACTTTCCGATTTGTGTCTCCAATGCCTCGGCGATTCTTCCAGCTTTATGATAATCGGCCTTTAACTTGAATGATTTTAATCCAGGGCGTTGTGATTTGATAATGCTAGATATAACATTGGAATGTGCATTTGCCTCGGTAACGGAGAGGCAAGTATATTCAAATTTCAGGATACGAATTGAGGTGTGCCTGGCGAGAAGATCTAAATGATGACTAACGTGAAAATAACAAGGAACAGGGCCAGCACAAATACTATATTGTAGCGAATAAAGTTGTACGCTATTCTTCAAAAGATGTTGTATTAAGATGTCTTCGACATTTCTGATATGCCTAAACATTGTCCCCAGAAAATATGTTTGCATAGTTCGCGATATCGCCAGGTAATGCAATTCGTCCAAATACGAAGCATAATTAAATAGATGAGGTGAATTGTCTTCAAACTCGAACCCAAGCTGTTTGATTAATAGTTTGTCTTGTGACGATAAAGATGATAAATATATTGGTATTAGACAGTTTGCTCTTCTGGTTATCTGTATCAAGTCAGATACAACGTAGTCGAATGGTGACTTCCAAAGTATTGGTATCGCATGATGGCAGAGCGTTTTACATACTAGCAGACATGCATTGAGCGTGGGAATAGACGAGTTTAATAGGTGGAGAAATATGTGTGAAATGATTTCCGTTGGAAGTTGATTGAGCATCCCCCGACTTTTAAAGATGTTAATATTAACAGAGGGGCAAAAACTGATCACGGGTTTTATGTAACAAACGTGATCGTCCGTTGCACAGTGCGCGAGGAACTTTTATTCACAACAAAGTGCTCGCTAAAGCACCAACGTTACCTTTTAACAAAGTTACTATAGACTAAAATTGTACTAAATATTAATAATATATACAGTATTATTAGCATACTTCAGCTATTTCATCTTCTTCGCTCTCAAGCCCATTGACATCATCAGCTGAAACAATTTGGGGCAGAGCCATTTCAATAATTCTTCTGTCAGGTTTGATAAGCATTTTGTTGAGCCAAGTTTAATATTTTTTTTTGTCTTGGCCTTTTGTTCGTCGAACAACTTATGAATTTCAAGCGTCATTTTGTTAAATGAAAATTTTGGATCCAATTCTTTCATCGCATAATCGTTTCAGATCGTTCCACAACTTCGATTTCTGGCGAGTAAATTTTGTTCGCCGCTGACGGTTTTTTATGGATCTCAACTTTGTCGATTAAATTGGGACTCCCGCATTATTAAGCCGACCATTACAGACTGCCATTAGCAAACGAATTCTTTTTCGGAGTATTTATTGGCTTCGCTTGTAATTATAAGCATTTTTCGTAGCGTTATTGTGGAAGTTGACAGATTACTAGCGTTTCAACGATATTGATTGCGTTGCTGTCCTCGTTCATCTCTTCTATTTCTTTTTTTATGTAATTTTATTCCAAGTACGTATCGTACGTACGCTTGGTTCATCCATAGTTTGCATTTAGCGTTCCAGTTTGCGGTAGATTGCTGTGATTTGATTTTGTTCGTTTGCTCATCATACACTGCGAATTTCTGCACATTGAATAGTTACATTATGAAAAGGTCTAAAAAGTGTCCAATACAGTAAAACCTCTTCCATAATGCAACCTCCATAAGTGCAAATCCTCTCTGATGCAACATTTGGCAGCTTGGGGCTCAGTGAATAAATGCAACCTCCTTATTTGCGAGTCCCCTAATATTCACGTGATTCACGTGATTTACATAATGTTATTTGTTACAGAAAATTATCGACACAATGTTATTTTCTTTTCTCATTTACAATAATTTTGAAACAGAAAGACTTTAATTAATTATTGTGACAAATTAAAACGAAATCGGATTAAAACGAAATTTTTTCTATTTTAGTATGAAAATTATAAAATTTTTTTGGAGATAATTTTTAGCCTTTTTTTGGGAATTTGGGTTAGGATTTAGGATACCATTTGTTAGTAAAAGAGTATATGTGGGTTTCAAGGCATTAAAAGGAACCCCAAAAGACCCCAAAATTTCGTTTTAATCCGCCACAATTATTACTGTAACGTTCGGGATAGAAACTGTTTGTTTCATTTTGCAACTAGCAGAAGAGCTTCAATTGTTTAACGTAGATATTGTCCAAAGGTATAAAGATGATGGAATTTGAAGAGGGATAATAAACTAAAAATGTCGCGCAATAAATCCAATAAAACTACATTTTAAATGACAGTCATAAACGTTTAAATGAGGACATCGCTAACACAATTCTTAGTTAACCATTAGGGATCTTGATAGTCAAATTTTGTATGCAACTTTAGCTGGGGATATTCTAATTTGGCATCAGCTCACCGCCCTTACTTTTTGCGACTGAATCTAATTCAAGCGACCTAATTTTAATTAGTATCGTGCGCGCTTCTTCACTCCCTATACAATGTACCTCACGCACTCGTATTCAATACAGTACCTATGATATAACAATAACAACAATTATTATATCACAGAATCGAAGGGGAATTAATTATTATTCTAATTTTAACAGGGCGAACTTTAACTTGGTTTATTGGCTAGTCCGATAAACGTCACTTGCCTATTTTAAACTAATTAAACATTGTTTATAATATTAATTATAGACTCTCGTTCCGATATTTCGCGTAATTGATCAACGGATTTTTACAGCTTAAATGAGCCGTTTATGCCAAATCTTACAGCTTGTATGCGAGTTGTTTTTATAGATGCAGTATATCCGGTTAATAAATATTTTAACGATGAAATAAAGAAAGAAAGAAAGAAAGTAAGTAAGTTAATTCGATTTTCAAAGTTATTTATTTTTGAACAAAAATCTATTCAATATTTCAACAATAAAACATGCCAAGTATGTCAAACATTTCCAAACAATGGTTCTTATGGACAGTGTGTTGCAAAAGTTTTTGGAATAAAATTTTCCCTAATAATTTCATAATCACTGAAGCAACTAATATCTTATTTAAAACGTTACAGCTTACTTATCTAATTTATCAGGATTCGCCGTAACATAATAAAGGAAAATCGTTAAAATGTCTTTTCTAATAAGGAAACCATCCATAATAATAAATGTAAACGTAGCATTCGGTCCAAGGCGCGTTGCATTTATTATTATGGAGTATGTCATCAGTATGTAACCAACTCGAACTGCGCAAAAAAACTCTGAAATGGCTTTTGTGAACGAGAAATTACTCCAGACAAAGGAGGAGTTCCTGGACTGGTTGACCGAGACCAAAAAGTGGCCGATGTGGTAGAAAAAGCCGGGAAGCTCGAGTAGGTGGAGTGGCTTTCCTTTGACGACGGAATATGGAAAGAGGAATTCGGGGCAATGAAAGCTCGAGTTGGCGTTAGAAAACTCTTGAGCGAACGTAACGAGGTAGAGTAGATGTAGTAGTATGGGCTGTAACGTAGTTGTATTGTTACAGCTTATAGTAGAGTGGAAAGTATATTTAACAAAGCCTTTTCACGAACATGTTTTCATCCATTTTACTCATTCTTGTTCCAGCACGAAACCTGCCTGAAATGTTAGAATATCGTGGTTCACAACCTCTTCTCAAGAGTAGTGGTTCCTCTTGGGACTTTCAAGCCTCAGAAGCTTTGAAACAAATACTTACAAATGCCATTCATAATTATTTCAAATTTTGAAAGCCTGGGCAACTTGATAGAATGAAAATACCCAATACTTTATTATAGCAGGAGAAATCGCCAAATTTGCTGATCAAATATACAAATAATATTTATTTACAGAATTGACTAAAATCTGCTCTTGTATTTAATCTATCATTTGAAAATGGGACCAAAATACTTCAAAAACACAGAAGAAGATAACTCTCATGCAATCGATAATCTCAATTGTTGAAGAAACGCAATGAACTTGGAATAATTTCAGTATAAGTAAGCAATATAGTAATAGTGTAACTCCAGAAGAGGTTTTACATAGAATTGCCAAACATTGCAATCAAAAATTCAGTGATCTAAATGTAATAATTATTCTGGATGGACTTCATGTGACATTGGATAACCTTGATGATGGAAAGAGTAAACAGTTTTTTTTATGATTGCATCTCTACATATACTCTTTAACTTGTCATTCTTTCACTTTCTGGCCCATTTGTTGTTACCTGTTGTACAACTACCATAACTTCCTTGCCAGTTCAGCTCAATTAAGAATCTTCTTCCAACTACATCATTGGAACCGACAGAAATAAACAACAGTCCAGTCTTTGCCAATGATCCAGTAATAAAGATGTCATTGATGATATAGGAGGTCATGGACGTGCATTGGAGGTTTTGGGAGAAGTACTTGATGGTAGAGATTTGAGTGAAGTTAATCTTATCAACCTAATAAATGATGTGTAATTGAGTCTTACAAGGCAATTCAGGATGGCTGAGTAGAACTGATTATTTGAGACCTATGCTCCACATTATTCTATCACACACACCCGTTAGCAAAAATAGTACTATCCTTGGGCTCAATGAAGAAAGAATAAAAGTGGATCAGCTAATACAGTTTGGACTTATCAAATTTAAAAGTTCAGATTCTGATCAAACTATTGGTTACAGGTACTAACATTTATTTCAGTTAACGGTAAATGTAGATCTAATAATATTAATATTAATATGATTATTTGCTCAGAAATTTTATCAGTTACGTTAGTCGTTTTGTCTCAATGTTAATGCACGATGATTCTTGCATTGAGAACAGTATGGTTAGACTGTTACTCGTACAATTATCGTATAATGATTTGCATTCATTAAATTGAATATGGTTGTGTTGACCTGATTGTATGATGATACAGCGAAACGAGACAAACTCTATGCTAAATTTAGACATAATTCATATTTCGATAGTTGAAGAAATTTGCCTCTACTCTACAAGCGTCAAGCAAATTATCACATGGCATGGTCATAATGAATTATAGATGTGATTTAGCAATTTTAACTATTAAACTGCATAAAGTAAAAGCAATATGTACCTATAACATAATGTTAACATTGTCCGAAATCTAATAAACATGTCATAATATTATTATCAAAAATTTGATTCTATGATAATTATTATTATGCATAAGGGGGAAAGACCGATTCTAATAAATTAGCAAGCGAAAAGTTTAGATTATAATAAGCGCACATCTTTTGCTGAACAGATTACGTATGAGAAGCATAAAATTGAGTATATGATATATTACGCTTAACATACTGTATATACATGCATTACTATAGCCTTGATAATGAATAATAAAATATGTTTTTTTATAGATTATTATCCATTCCAATTTGACATATGTCAATTCTAAATTCCAAACTGACATATGTCAATTTAAAATTGACATAAATTCTAAATCAACATATGTCAATTCCAAATTGACATACAACAGCCTGCTTCCTTAATATTAGTATTAAAGTTGATAGTGTATTCTTTGGAGAGATTGATGCTTTATGAGAATGAATTTGTTAAAGAGGAAGCTGTATTCTTCAATTTTTTGTTTGTCAGACATTTTTGCATTCTGTGAATTAAATTGAGACGTTTCAAGACTGCTTGCAAGGTCTTCACATGTTTCTGTAGCTATTACTATTGTAAGTCAAACTTATGAGTATATAATGAAAAATTAGTGCCAAAAAAAAGTATACCCACCTTATTAATTATATGTTTTGGAATCATTGAAGTAGGGTTTGGGTAGTAATCCTCTGAAGAATCTTTAAAAGACTTTTCTCCTTCATCAACAATATTGTCCTATGTCGCGACTGGCCAATCTTATAGTAGTATAGATATGATAATGAATGACTTGAAGGTTATTTCTACTAATACTGCTAAGTCATTGCGTAGTAAGTGTCATATCGTACCCCTCCTGATTCGTTTAAGGTTTCAAAAACGAAGAAACAAACACAGCTCCGGCTTTTTTCTTATTCAACACGTGCTGGCATTACGATTGGCCAAATTTTATCAACTAGTACAATATTCACTATGATATTACTTTACTAGTAACCTTATTATATCGAGCAAAAATTAATAATACTGTTTTTGTATCTGGGAATTCTTGACTATAGTACCAAAGTCACTGTATCAAGCCTTTATTGTATCGAGATTTGACTATTCGGAATTTTGTCTCAGTTGCCCACTGGTGGGTTTTTTGCACCAATAACGTGATCGGATATATTCAATATTCCGATATGCAGGTTTCATACTTTTACATAAACACTCGGATGTTGTCGAGTGCAGCCAACGATAATGCTTTGGATGCCATTTGTTATTACACATACGGAAAAACAAATTTATCGAAATAATACAATGTTATGTTCAAATTAAATAAAAAGTTATTTTATCAATTGACCTGTTTTCTCTTATTCAATAATAACCGCTACATACCTGGTGTCGTCATCATTCGTCCAAAACAAGTTAAATGCATGGGACGCATATTTTGCATTTGGTTTAATTAATTTGAGTTCGTTAATATTACTATTTTAGGTAAGATTAAACAAAACATGGGGCTGTCAACCTACCCCCTGAATTTTTATGTGAAAAACCGTTCAACACACATTGCAGTATCCGATTTAATATCAGAAACAATCTTACTGGTCACATCTAAACTGAATGGACCACTTTTCCTTTTTTACTGCATATTTGGGTTCTGTTCCAACAAAACGTCTATTAATTTTGATAATAAATGCTATCATGCTCGCCAATCAAGTATAAAGTTCGTTTGTTTGGTATAAGCCGCCTGCACAAAGATTAATGAATGGGTGAGAACTTCTGAACTTTTAAACAAGAAATATTGTTCACTAAAAATAAAGACCTCATCACGAGACCTCTTCTGGAGCATAGCCACACTTTATCAACAGTAATAACGTCAGCGTTGTACGAATATGGTTCAATCAATTCTAGAATTCTAATTGTGCTAATGTGACCTGATTAGTTGACATCGTACGACTCGGGGGACTCGGAGACTTGTAAAATTTCCCGGATGCAAACTGCCGTCGTCGCTTATGACCAGATAAACTGGAACAACTTGACCAATAAAAGATTAAAACCGAACGTTTATTGTAAGGTTGACTTGCAACATACGTTTTGTAATTGCTTATGGTTTTGGTTTATCACCATGAAATGATTGGTATATTTATTGTTTCTTTTGACAAAGTCTAAGGCTGTTGTGTTTTGTGATATGTATGAGCCCGCCACATTTCCACCCCCGCAGTGCCAAACTGTCGTGATAAGTTTATGTAATACATTAGTTAATACTACATTTTAGGTTAGTTACGTCACACATTCCAACGTCCAATCCCTGTTGAATGCTGTCTCAGTTGTTTAATTAAATATTATGAAAATGTATTTCTCTAAACGCAATCAAGACAAATGAAAACTAAAGAGTATTATTGATTTAACAGCACACAAAGTCATATATTACGCGCATAATTACAAGTTTGGAAAATCAAAAGAGAAAGCATGAAGTCATACATATTTTTACGATTCAATAAAAAAATAGTGTCTTATTTTCAATTAATTGTAAAATGTAAATCCTAGAAACAAAATTAATCGTTTTTGTTTTGTTGTTTTTTTTTTCGACGAAAGTCTTTGATCAAAAAGATTTTTTGTTTTTCTTTTGCTCTAATTTACATTTCTCGCTCGAGTCTTATACTAGACACATCGCGAGTGGTAAGATCATGCTCACTACCACTTGAAACAAAACCTGTATCGTTTGTATTGCATGTAGTAGATAATGATGCACTACCTTGTTCATTAGTCTTATGTGCCGCCTTTACATCTGGTCCATCTTCCTTACTGTCCACTGACTCAAGCTGCTTTTCCTCGTCCTCACCCGGCACCGCATTACCAATGTTGCTCACCAACTCGTCAGAAATACTATTTGCTTTCTTTGATGGAAGATGATTTCGTAACTCGATATCACGAGTATGAATACTTTTGAATAGCTTGGGAATAATCAAGCCAAACTCTGTCATACAGAACACTGTGAACGCTATACTGAACAATTCGGGTGTTTCATATGTAAGCTCAAATGCTTTAAATATGCATAGAAGGTGATATGTAGAAGAAAATGCAAGAAAAAGGAGATCCAAATAAAAGCAATATGATTGAAATCTGCGTTGACGAATTATCTGAGGATCCTCGCTGTGGTTAGTACGACGAAATGTGCTGAAAACGACAACGAGAAATATGCCCTCTAGAACAAGATAATAAAATCTAAGTAAGGGAGTGATCCAGTCATTGAAATCATATACGATTTCCCAATCGTGTGTGTCACAATTGTTGGTTTGAACTGGACATGTTATAATGTACTGAATGCTGGCAATGAATAAGCTGGTTAATTGTAATATCGCAAATCCAATGACCAAATAATGGATCCGGCTATGTTTCCTGCATGGAGCGTAGACAGCTTGGCATCTCAAGAAAGCCAGGTACAAGATAGACGGTCTGAGTATGATAAAAATGCCACAGCGCATGACCGTTATCCATATTCGCGTATTGGGTGCCAAAAGTTTAATGATAGTTAGAATTTCACATATAAAGAGGAGACCGTTGACCATGGGAAACATATAATATTTTGATGCTGTCGAGCGAAGGACCGCCATATGGAGTAAAGAGTGTAAAGTAAACAGCATGGAAGCTCCTACCAAAGTTCCTCCCAAAAACTGCTCGACTGGTGTGTCGTAAACATTATATAATGCTTCTGACATTTTCTTCTCTAGAGGGGGAAAAATTCGTCGAGATGCCGAGCAGATAATTTAAACAAAAAGTTGTATAAAAACGTGATAAACTGTTGCAGAACAATGTAACTAAACGATTGGTTGTGATTGTATGGAAAGGTTTACCGATTATTCAGTGTGATGGTGAGTGGTTAAAAGAATAGTTTGAAGATAAAAAGGTTGTAACGGGTCGAGTTGAAGTGTAAAGCGAACAGAGGAGGACGAGGAAGAGAGGGAGAAAAAAAGAATGTAGCCTCACAAACAGCTGGTCTGATGAGTGAAAAAAACCATGTGTAACTGGCATATCTCTCTTTTATAGCGACCGTGATATATATGCAAATCGTTTAATCTACAAATATTCGGTTGGTCTGATCTCATATTCTGATCGGATAAGTATTCATTTTATTGATTCGGTCTTGGTAACCTCTTATGCGGCGCGATGATCGGATTTTCTAATTAGAACCCGAACATCTCGTTTTGGATGACAGATAAAATTTGGAGTACAAAATCATGCAAACGGTAATAAACAACATCAGACGGGAAAAAAACCGTAGTACTTTTAATCTGATATTGATAACATTATAGTTGTTATCATGCAGCCCACAAGCATAAAACCAAGACATATAACATTGGCTTTATATTCACGACCGGTTTGTCAACGGTAGTTCATTGTTCGAGTCTAGTTTGTTTATCTGAGCTCAATAACGTAAACAAAGTACAACATATGCTCGAAACGGTTTTCTCCAATGGAGACGTGCTTATCCAAGCCGGGGGGGGAGGTGAGAGAAAAGTATTTAATTGTAACACGATACACGTTTTAGTAATCGATTTTCACTAATCTGCATACGCCCCATGCACCAGTTTATTCGCTATTGTCTCAATTTAAGTTTTGAACTTTAAACTAAATTTGGCTTAAGAACCAGGGGACCACACCCTTGTAATATTTCAAGTATGAATGAACGAACGATCGGCGATATACGAATACTTGTTGCGATAGGAGGTAAATGAATCACCTTAAAATAATTGCAGCGATATGCAGGGGAATACCCTTTCTTTATCTTTGCTAACAAAGCACATGTCTATCAAGTTTAATAGGATTGCATATACTGACAAAGGTTAATCAAGGAATGCTAGCCATTTTTCGCTCCAATGCAGAATGATACGGTTCCAAGTCAAAACGCCGATGAATCAAATGATGCCGATGAAAGGCTAGTTTAAATTTCAGTTTTAGAATTTAGCAAGCATGCCTACCGTTAATACATGGAGAACAACTATTGTCGTGTGACTAAAATTCTATGCTTTTGCAAAGAGGAGACGACTCGTTGAGTAAACTCGTTATCCAACATTGTCAGGAAATGTATTTCCCGCGTATGCGTATACGTTAAATTTATTAGTAAAGGGCTGCATGCTTACTAGTCCATTTATAGTTAGTTATGATCTTTGTGATAAAAAGCGTTTTTTGTGTTAATACTTACTTATTCTCATTGCAACGTCAGATTCTACTTTAAAATATATTGTGCGCTTTGTCCAATTAGTTGATCACGATCTTTATGACCACATACTTGGTTCTAGAAAACAAACCGTAGTGACTTGAACCAAAGCTTTATATTACCTTAAGTTATCAATCACAGTGATGTGGAAAGAGTGTCTGTAATTCTAATGCCCGACTTATCGAGAACCGTGTGAATAATCGAGTATTATCCGCTACTGGCTGCGATATACAGAAATACACGTTTATTATTGGTCATAAATAAAAGTTATAATATTTACCTGAAAATTAACCTAAATAACTGTGATAATAAACGGACAAAGCGGCATATGACGAACTAACGATAATTATCTTTTAATGAAGCCTTTTGTTGATAAGTGTAGACTACCGAATACAGCACCTCTGGGTACATCTTGATGGTGTCCGGATGTGCTATCGCTATGTGAAATGAATGGTACTGTACGAGAGAGGTACATTGAACAATTTTTGGAACAAATACGTTACGTACATTAGTAAACTTTCGCTTCTTATCAGATACTGTCGTCAACGTGCCAACTAATACAAACGGTTTAATGCCATGCTCGCGAGTACATTTTTCATTATTGTGTAAACCGAATGTACCCGGGTCTAATTTCGGGGGGCGGAGTACTGTATTCGATGTGGTCTACGGTACAACGTAACGACTGGAGGACTTACTGTTTATCGAAATAAAAGTCAGAAAGATTTGTCCAACTTGCTGAGATTGACGAAAGGATTACCATACCCGAGACTGACCCGATAAAAAGTTTAAATCGTCGTCGTATTCTGTTACTCAAAACAGTTTATGTTCAAAGACATCTTATACTCGCGCTAATTATTACAAAGTCTATTGTATAAGAGACTAATTGAACTTGTAACGCTCGATTGATTACTCCATGTTTTTGTCACGAGTATTCTTATATTACTTCCGGATGATGGGAATAACGTCATATGTTTAGATAAAGCATTCTGGCAATATCACTGATACTTCTTGTTATCACCATATGCTACTATCTTATCAATGTCAATTTACATACAGTCTCTCTCCACTCGCTCATTCACAACTACTCTTTTTCTTTACCCCAATATTTGCAAATGACTATCCAAACAATTTACAACAATTATAAACGCGCCCGAGACGGAGACCACTTCACTTCTACTGCTACGCTCAATTTCGTTCCAACATCCGTTTTTATCTATTCATATGACTCTGTTCGCTCGTTTCTCACAAACGCATACGACCCAAACACCATATCCATAAAAGAAAAGGTTAAAAATATGGTTATATCAGCAGATACCATTGTCGAAGAAACTGAAGCTACAATTACCTTTATTTCTGGAGAATGTTTCTGGATGTTTGGACATGAAATGGATGTGGACAAAGACGCCGTCAAGGGAAAGAAAATCACTGTGGATATGGTCACTTTTATTAGGTTCGAGTATGATAAGATTCAAAGCGTTCGGATGTATTGGGATCAGTTGAGCGTCATGAGGCAGATCGGGTGTGAGAGTTGGGTGGACGTTTGCGAAAATGAAAAAAGTAACGAGTATGTGAGGAAGAGGCAGGATCGGAATAGTGCTCTGACTATGAGTGACGATGATTCTGTTGGGAATAGTGAAGTAGCCGGTAATTGGATTTTTGTCAGACCAAAGATGTGGTTTAAAGCTTCATGGTGACTGGGTTGATGTAAAAGAGTGTCGAGAGTTTTGCGAGCGATATGTGACGTTGTGCTTGTCAATATTATCCATTGTTGTGGAGAGAATAACAGTAAATAGTGGATATGCGTACATTTAAATTGCAAATTCGTCCATATACAGTACTGCGATAGACGTAATAGCTGCTCCTAGCGTAAAGATAAACCAGCAATTCTGTTTGGAAAGAACAGCTTTATTGTGCGGTGAGCGATACTGATACGGTTGTACGGTTACTATTGTTAACGTGACTTACAGTAGAAATTCGTCACGTACAAATTCGCTACTAAATCATGTGAGCATACAATTTAATCAAATGTATAGAAAATGTCGAACTTCAAAAATACTCGTAACAAACTTGATTATTTATCCTTCCTATGCAAGACGATAGAGAACGAAGTTCTCTAACCGGTGACAAAAAAAATACCCGAAATGCCGGATTGCTTCGGTCTCCTGCATTCTAATCTCTTCCTATTAGTGACAAATCATTGCACGCCGTTAAAGAAAAGATTACGTCTAAAGTAATTTTAGTATGAAATTTAAACGATGATACATTGTTGGTCGTCAGCGAAGTAAACTTTTTTGTCTGCATCATGTTTATCTAATAATTTATACTGAAATCAAATGTTTCTCAAAACATAACTTTTTATATTTTAATTTGAGCGTGTAGACAAAAAACAATTTTCGAGTACAAGCCTAATTGAGTATCAACTTTTTGCGTTGAATCATGCTCTTTTGCGAAAGGCAATATTAAGCACCTAAATTTCGTTTATACGTATGTACAAAGTCTCAGTTATGTTACTAAGAACAAGCAATAGTCTCATAAATTATTACAAAGGTGGACTTTTTTATATGAGGCTTATAATCTAATCTATGAGATTTTAATTACCCGACAAGTCACTGTTATTAAGTGGATACATAATAACAACTAAACAGTCAACCAATTGGTCAAGGCGTTGATAAAGCTTTGATATTATATACGCCCAGTATTTCTCAAGCTTATTATTAGTGCATCTGCTATGTTATACACATATACCGTCAAATATTAATTATTATCTCGATATTGGAGAAGAATTCGTAGGTTTTAACGAAATCTGGCGAAAGAAGTTTGTAATTTCGATCCACATAATCCACATGTTAAAAATAAAAGTGTAATTTTCGGAACGTATTTCCTGCTTTGGCATAGATCTAAAGGACGTCGCGATTAAATATTATCCAAGCTATGACAAGCCGAGCAGTGAAACAACTAGAACAGATCTTTTAATTGATACATTTGTGATATA